AGCCCGAGAGGGAGTGGAAAATTGAACCGACAGCTTTGTAACAGGAGACGAGGAAACCCCCGAAGGAGGTAATGATCATTTGGCTGAGAGAAGGCGCAGGAAAAGTAAAGCTATAAAGAGAGAAACACAGTGGCAACTAAATTGAAACAGAGCGGAGAAGGGAGCAAATAGAGCAGAATGAGAACAGTGTGAAGAATGCTGAGAGCCCACTGTAAAGTTTTACAAAATGTGAGAGACTGGAATTTAAGAACGGCAAGAAGGTGTGAATGAAATCAAAGAAAGGACTGGAGAATAGGACAGTTGGAGATAATTAAAGGTGATTAAGAAGGACTTTGAAAAATTAATATAAGGATTAAAAGGTGAAAGGAGACAACGGAGAAATTTAGCTTATTTTTGAAGAATAAATAACATTGAAACTTGGACTTTAATTGACATATATCTGGATAAAGTGACGAGTGGATGTTTTTGGAAATATTGGATACAGAGAAGAAGAAATAAGAGGTGATATTTGGTGCATTGGTGGACATATTAAATTGAGACTGAGAAAAAAAGGCTGATGCAATATTCACTCACATACAAGCAGTGTTTAAGCTACAAGTAGAAAAGCGGACTCAGGCAAATGTACTAAAAGTACTGAAGTAAATGAATTGTATTAATGAATTGTATTAATGAAATAGAAATAATCATAGCATAGTAGAGAAGTATAAACAGGTGACTATTCAAGTAAGAGTGATAGCGAATGAAATTAAGAGTGGTGACAACACTTAGAGAATAGTATACGTATATGTATCATGTATGGTGTTATAGAAATATATATATATATACATAACAGATGTTAAGAATATTATAAAGTATACAAGATAAATAGTGGGATAAGGAAAGGTACAACTTTACTTGTAATTTTAGTTGTTAAGGTTAATGTTATACAATGATATTATAGTCATATATATTGATTTATAGTTAGAAGTATTATATATATTCTTTATGCAAAAGTGGAGAAATATTACTCAAGTTATAAAAATGACAAGTACTGTAACTACAACTAAAGTTAGCAAAAAAACAGTTACAAATCCCACAAATACAATGGCCTCTCCTTCAGGCCAAAGAATCGTGTTGGGGAAAGAAAAAGAAAAAGTAGAATTGGCAATGAACCCACAGAGTTTGCAGATAACACTACAAACAATTCAAGAAACAATGATGATGACCCAAGAGGTAATAGCAAATAATCATGAAGAAATGAAAATACATCATAAAGAAATTAAGAATGATATTGGAAAAATGAGAGATGAAATTAAAAATATGAATGATAAGATAGGTAATATACAACAAACAATAATGGAAAATGAACAAAGAATTCAAAAAGTTGAAACAAAAATGGAGCTTGTTGATAGTAAAATAGAAGGGATGATACAGAAATCTGATCAAGCAAATAGGGAGTTGACTGAATCTATTGCTTTTCTGGAAATGAACAAAGCTTCGTTTTGTTTAAGATTTCAAAATATTGTTGAGGAAAAGGAAGATTTGGGAGAAAAGATGGCAGAGATTTTGGCGGTGATTTTAGGCAAAGAAAAATTGGAAGTAAAAAGAGACATGGATGAAACATATAGAGTATACACAAATTATGCACGAAGGTATAGATTGGCGAGAGGTTCATATAAGGTTTACTAGAAGATCAATAAGGGATGAAATATATAAAAAAACAAGAGACGAATCAATAATGTATAAGGGTAAAGAAATAATTGTATTAAAACAAATACCACGTAGTATGCGAAATCAGAGACGAGAATACCAATTAATTAAATATAAAGTCAAGTTTCGTTGGTTAATACCTGAAGGCATATTTTTAACTTGGCAGGAGAAAAAAAATACAAGATAGATACACTTGAGAAAGCACAGGACTTTTATGAGAGTTACTTTTCACAAGGTGAAGAACAAGAAAGTAGGGAAGAGCCGGAGAGTAAAAGTTATGATGAAGATCTATTAGAGGAAGTTGATTGAGAGCGAGAAATACAAAAGTTACAAGAAAGAGAAAGGTTAGAAAGAGAAGCAAAAGGAAGACTTATAGAGACAAGAAGGATAAAACAAAATAAAAACAAAAAAATAGGTCAAGTTAAAAATGGGAGACGTAATTAAGCTCTTTTCTATAATATCAAGAAAAAGAGTTTAGACGTTTAACAATTTAAGGAAATTGGATGTAGATGTGATGTATCTTTAGGAAGTTTACATAAAATAGGATTATAGAAAATTACTAGAGAAAGTAAAATTTAGAAACATTATACACAATATTAGCATAAAACAAGAAAGGAGGAATTATTATATATGTCAAAGAAAAATAAAATTAAATAAATATATTTGGATGAAAAGGGGTGAATTTTAATGTTGGAAATAGTATTAGAGTAGAAACAGTATATGAACTAAATAATATGAGAATATTTGTATGATCACCATGCTTAGATGGAATTCCGGTCGAATCTTATAAAAAATATGAGTGTTACTACAATGAATAATGTTGGATTCCTAATAAGTAGTAGAACATGAAAGAAGGAAAATGTAAATAAGAAACAATGGGGCAATAAGGACAAATATTTCAAAAAAGAAAGAGGGGGGAAATGTAAAGAATAGAAGAGTACTGTTACTAACTGCTTTAACAAAAAAGGATATATTACGTGTGTATGTGTGTAATTTTTGTTTTGTTTTGTTGGTCTAAAATAATAAGAATTAAAAAAAGAAAAGAAAATAACATTAAGAGTCTGGAGGAAGATTACTACAAATACTTGGGTATCCTTCAAGCTGACAACATCAAGCACACTGAAGTCAAGAAAAAGATTAGAGGTGAATACATCAAGAGAGTGAAGAAGATCTTAAAGTCCAAACTCAATGGAGGAAATACCATAAAGGCAATCAACACCTGGGCAATTCCAGTCATTAGGTACACAGCTGGAATAGTGGACTGGACTCAAGCAGAACTAAAAGCAATGGATAGGAAGACCAGAAAAATAATGACAATGAATCATGCCCTTCATCCACGCAGTGACATTGACAGACTTTATCTACCAAGGCAAATAGGTGGGCGTGGAATGCTACAAGTACATCAGATGGTTGAAGAAGAAAAAATGGCTTTGGAAGAATATCTGAAGAATAATGATGAAGATGCACTGAAATTAGTATATCAGGAAGGCTTACTGACTACTGGAAAGACCAAACTGGCCTACAAGAAAGACCAAATGAAGAACAGAATAGAGGCATAGGAAGACAAAGCACTACATGGCCAATACATTAAAAAAATAGCTGGGAAAGCAGATAATAACAAGACCTGGCAATGGCTAAGAGCAGGAAAATTGAAGAATGAGACCAAGGGACTAATTCTGGCTGCACAAGACCAAGCCTTAAGGACAAATGCATATAAAGTCAAAATTGAGAAGACAGAAACAGATAGTAAGTGCCGCCTATGCAAAGAAGCTGAAGAAACAGTGGACCACCTGGTAAGCTGTTGCAAGAAGATCGCACAGACTGACTACAAGCAGCAGCATGACAAAGTAGCAACAATGGTGCATTGGAAGATCTGCAAGAAATATCATTTTGCCTGTAAGCAAAAACTCGTGGGATCATAAAATAGAGAAAGTCATAGAAAATGTAAAATTAAACTGCTCTGGGACTTCAGAATTCAAACCGATAAGCACCTGCAACATAACACCCCGGACTTAACAATTGTCGATAAGAAAGACAAAAAAGTCTGGATAGTGGACGTGGCAGTGCTTGGAGACAGCAGAATAGACGAGGAAGAACTGGAGAAGATAACAAAATACAAAGACCTACAAATAGAAATAGAAAGACTATGGCAAAAGCAAGCAAGGGTAGTACCAATAGTAATAGGCGCCTTGGGTGCAATCCCAAAACAACCAGAGCACCACTTGAACACCATTGGCATTGACAAATTCGCTATTAGTCAATTGCAAAAGGCGGCCTTACTAGGAACTGCTTCCATCCTGCGACGATATCTGTAATACCATCAAACATCCACATCTGCCTATCCCAGGTCCTGGGTAAGAACTCGATAGGTAGACAAAATGCCAAATCCAGTCTGAACATCTGGCTGACTGTGCGATGATCCATAATAAAGTTGGAAGGGACTTTGGAGGTCCTTGAGTCCAATCCCCTGCTCAGACAGGAAACCCTACACCATTTCAGACAAATGGCTGTCTTAAAAACTTCCAGTGTTGGAGCATTCACCACTTCTGGAGGCAGGTTGTTCCACTGGTTAATTGTTCTAACTGTCAGGAAGTTTCTCCTTAGTTCTAGGTTGCTTTCTCCTTGATTAGTTTCCATCCGTTGATTCTTGGTTGCTGTTTTCTTCTAAAAGTGACATGTTTCCATGTCTTTCCCTTTAGGTTCATTTATAGCATCATTTTTTATGGAAGCTATTTGTTCTCTGTTGTGTTCAATTTGGGTGTATCGATTTTCTTCTTTTTGTTCATGTATCGGGTCATTTTTTTTAGAAGCTTTTCCCTATTGTGTTTAATTTTGCTGTAGTCTTTCTTGATTAGGTTGGGGATTCTTGCTTTGTTCATTGAGTTTCAGAGTGGTTAGAATTGCTTCTAGACCCTTTACTTTTTCTTCTGTAAATTCTTCCTTCATCAAAAAGTCCCCTCTGAGTTTTCCTCCACCTGTTCTTTCTCATAGTGTAACTTACTGTATATTCTAATAAGATAGGGGTGTCAAATTGCCTGCCCGTGAGCCGGACGCATCATGAAGAAACCGTGCCCACCCCATTGCCAGCAATGGAGAAACGTCGCAAGTTTGACATGTCTGTAATAAGAGATCTGAGTCTACTTTCTCCCCATTCATAGGGTAAAGAAGTCAGCACACATCATTAAGTTTTAAATCATGACTTACTGTATGTACTTCAGTGCATTTCTAAAGTAATTCCTTAAGTTAGTTGGTGGTAGCCATATATGTGCTTTTCTGTTTTTCACTCTGCTATTTCATATCTCTCATTTAAGGTCTGGCAGACTGGCATATCCCTGCTGCTGGAATGTTTCTATGGATTAAGATTAAGGGAGTTCCTGATACCCAAGAACTGATCATGAAAAAAGCTTTGGAGAAACAAGTATGAAAAATAAATATTGAACTTAAAGCACAATGGGGAGAGAGGGCAAATACATTTTTTAACAATTCTAATATGAGAAGCATATGACTGACTGAGAAGGGTTTTGTTTTAGGTGTTGCTTGTCCCTGGATGTTCATTTAACATTAACAGTTCTGATCCCAGCTCTCATGTCAGAGCCTCCTTCTCTCTCTCTTCTCCAAGTCAGATTGATCAGGTGAGTGAAGTTTGCCTTGTCTCCACATCTACCATTTCATCAGACTCACAGTCATTATTCTTATATTATAGTTGATAAGCCATGTTCTATTCCATTTCAATCTTTCAAATTTGAATCTTTCATTACTTTTCATATTTCTATTGACAGGATGATTTAGTTATTTGCTGGAAATTTTTAAAGGATTAGAAAGTTAATTCAGTCTTATAGAGTATGGGATTGGTATAGGCATTATAGGATCCTGCTTTTAGGTAACATTAGAATCATCTCCATGTAACACAGAATATTGTTATGAATTTCTGAACACAATGTACATTTAGATGTATTTATTTATTTTATTTTATTTTTAAAATTTATAAGCCGCCCCACTCCCGAAGGACTCTGGGCGTCTAACAATAAAAAACACATAAAACATAACAAACAACAATACAAAAACAATCATCCAGGGGTAAGGTTTTATAAACCCCAGGCCTGCCGGAAAAGCCAGGTCTTAAGTAGCTTACGGAAGACCAACAGGGTGGGAGCGGTCCTAACCTCCGGGGGGAGCTGATTCCAAAGCATGGGCGCCATCACAGAGAAGGCCCTCCTCCACGGCCCCGCCAAATGGCACTGCTTGGCCGACGGAGCCCGAAGGAGGCTCAGCCTGTGGGATCTAACCAGACGTAGGGAACTATGAGGTAGTAGGCGGTCTCGCAAATAGCCTGGCCCTGAGCCATATAGGGCTTTAAAGGTAATGACCAACACCTTGAATTGGACCCGGAGACCAATAGGCAACCAGTGCAGCTCATGGAGGATAGGTGTAACGTGGGTGTATCGAGGAGCACCCACTATCACTCGCGCGGCTGCATTCTGGACCAACTGTAGTCTCCGAATACTTTTCAAGGGTAGCCCCATGTAGAGCGCGTTGCAGTAGTCCAAACGTGAGGTGACAAGGGCGTGAGTGACTGTAAGGAGAGCCTCCCGGTCCAGGTAGGATCGCAACTGGTGCAACAGGCGAACTTGTGCAAAGGTCCTCCCAGCCACAGCCGTCAATTGATGTTCCAAATTCAGCTGTGGATCAAGGAGGACACCCAAGTTGCGAACCCGCTCCAAAGGGGGTATATTTTCCCCCGCAAGAGTCAACACTGGACAGTCGACATGATCCTTGGGAGGCAACATCCAAAGCCACTCGGTCTTGTCAGGATTGAGCCTGAGTCTGTTAACCCCCATCCAGACCCTCACGGCTTCAAGGCAACGGCCCATCACATCGGCCGCTTCACTGAGAGAGCTCGGGGAGGAGATATATAACTGGGTATCATCAGCATACTGATGAAACCTCACCCATGCTGTCTGATGATCTCACCCAGCGGCTTCATATAAATGTTAAATAGGAGGGGAGAGAGGACCGACCCCTGTGGCATGCCACATTCAAGGGGCCTCGGGGTTGACCTCTGCCCTCCCACCAATACCGATTGCAACCGGCCAGAGAGGTAGGAGGAGAACCACTGTAAAACAGTGCCTCCCACTCCCACCCCTTCGAGTCGTCGCAAAAGGATACCATGATCGATGGTATCGAAGGCCGCTGAGAGGTCAAGTAGCACCAAGAGGTTATTCCTCTGTCTCGGGCCCGCCAGAGATCATCCATCAGCGCGACCAAAGCGGTTTCTGTGCTGAAGCCGGGCCTAAAGCCAGATTGAAAAGGGTCTAGATAATCCGCTTCATCCAGAGACCGTCGGGGCTGGAGCGCCACCACTCTCTCTACAACCTTCCCCACAAAAGGGAGATTGGAGACTGGACGGAAGTTATTTAAATCAGCCGGGTCCAGGGTAAGCTTCTTGAGCAGGGGCCTCACAACCGCCTCCTTCAGGGATTGTGGAAAAGACCCCTCCCTCAACGAAGCGTTGATCAACACCTGGAGCCAGCTTCGTGTCACCTCCTTGGCAGCCGAGACCAACCAGGAAGGACACGTGTCCAATAAACAAGTGGAGGCGCTCATTGCTCCCACCGCTCTGTCAACATCCTCAGCGGTCACAGACTCAAATTCATCCCATAAAACTGAGCTAAGACCTGCCCCAGTCATCTCGAAAGGCCCTGCCCAATCGGAGTCTAGGTCTGTCCGAATCCGAGCGATTTTGTCTGATAAGAATTGCACAAATTCCTCCGCTCTACCCTGTAAGGGCTCCCCAGCTTCCCGAACATTAAGTAGGGAACGGGTCACCCTAAACAGGGCGGCGGGGCGAGATTCTGCAGACACAATAATTGCGGAAAAATGCGAACATTTTGCCGCTCGTATCGCCACTAAATAAGTCCTAATATAGGCTCTTAGAAGTGTCCGGTCGGATTCGGAGTTACTAGCGCTCCAGCATCGCTCTAGACATCTCTTCTGACGCTTCATCTCCCGTAGTTCCTCAGTAAACCAAGGTGCCCTCCGGGATCCACAATCACGGAGAGGTCACAAAGGCGCGATCCGGTCTAACGCCCCTGATGCCGCCTTATTCCAAGCAGCGACCAAGGACTCAGCCGGTTCGTGGAGGAGGGAATCAGGAAAACCCCCAAGCGCTATTTGGAACCCCTCCGGGTCAATTAAATGCCTGGGGTAGAACCACCTAATCGGTTCCGCCTCCCTGCGGTGGGGGAGTAGGACCGAGAAATCTAACCTCAACAGGAAGTGATCCGACCATGACAAGGGAGAAGTGACCATACCCCTTAAATCGAAATCACGTCTCCACTGCCCCGAGAGGAATACCAAGTCGAGCGTGTGTCCTCCCCTATGGGTCGGACCCTGAATTATCTGGGTCAGGTCCATGGTTGTTATGGAAGCCATGAACTCCTGAGCCACACCAGAGGATTCGCCGAGTGACAGCAAATTGAAATCCCCCAGCACCATAAGCCTGGGGAATTCCACCGCCAACCCGGCTACCCCCTCCAGCAGCTCAGGCAGGGCTGTTGTCACACAGCTGGAAGGCAGATATGTCAACAACAAACCCGACTGAACCCTTGAATCCAACCTCAAGAGAAGTGACTCACACCCAACAACCTCTGGGGCTGGGATCCTGCGAGGTCTCAGGGATTCTCGGACAAGAATCGCCACTCCCCCACCCCTTCCCTGGAGTCGCGGTTGGTGCATTATCTGAAACCCATCTGGGCACATCTTTGAGAGAGGAACACCTCCCTCTTGGCCCAGCCTGGTCTCAGTAATACATGCCAGGTCAGCCTCCTCATCCAGTATCAAATCCCGGATGAGGGGGGCTTTATTAATAACCGACCTGGCATTAAAAAGCAGCAGCCTGAGGCCAGGGTCCTGAACACCCCCCTCTCCAGGTATTGGAGAAGAGTCCAAGGTGTCAGAACAGGTAATCGCTCTAATGCAGCGAGTCCTTGTTCCCCGAAGATGGCCCACCCCTTGGCTCCCGCCATATCTACCTCTCCCTACGATAACCGGGATGTTCCGGCCCACCTCCACCCCCGAAAACTCCCCACCCACCCCGCAGGTCTCCCTTCCACCATCCCCCCCTTCCGGCAGGCCACATCTCACATTCAAATCGAGCCGGGAAGTACATCCAGCCCCCCCTCCACTTCTGTTTACACACTCAGCAGAGGGGGCACCAGTTCTTGTTCCCAGCTCCATCACTCACACCCATACACACCCTAATACAATAAACTAAAAAGGTTAAAAAACGATCATACAATCAGCATACACTAGCTAAAAGATTCTGAGAATCAAGGTCAAGAATCACAAAGAGCCACCACCACCCCCCCCCCCGGCAGCAACGGCAGCAATGACAACGGGATGGTGCCACCCAGCCCCCCCGTGGTGCGTGGCAGCCCCACTGGTCTCGCAATGTATCGATGAAATATTGTAGGCATTTGTAGATATTTAGCTATCAAGTCAATTGGCCTAGGAATAGTACCAATATAGTTAATGTAGGATCTTTAAAAAAGATTTATTTCTACTTAAATTCATGAATAGTGCCAATGCATAGAAGAGTGATTTCTCTTCATCTAAATCTTAATTCCATTTAGACAATGTGGAATATACGTGAAAGAAATATATGTATAGGCATTGCATGAAACATTGCAGTGCACTTTCAAGGTGGAATCTGTTTGTATGTGACATTGATCATGAGAAATATTCGTAGTAGATGGAAAAAAGGTTGGGTAAGCTATGGCTCATCTATGTAGCTATTTCATATCTTGAAATTCCAGCTTATGTTTCTGCATTTGTATTGATGAAACTATATTGGAAAGAATATTCAGATCTTTTACATGCATACCTAGTGCCCTCCTTGAGCCATATAATAAGGCTCAAAATATTACTGGTTTTATTTTGTTATTATAATAATTCATAATACTATTCTTATTATAATTATATACCCATTACTATATTTAGGGCTAAACAATATTATACAAAATAAAAAGTACAAAATAGTAAACTACAGAAATTAGATGGATGAGATAAAAGGAAATACAGCTAAATCTAGCTTACAATATCAGCATTCACTGTTTCTTTCAAACTTTCTGTTTTTGCAAATTATTTTTTCCTTATTTATACCATCATTTTACTGATTCATGTCCTTTAAATAGCAGTTCTTGTTGTTGTTACAGGGTTTCCAAAGATTGGCTGACATCATTAAAGAAGCTGTATGATTTATTAAATGAAAAATCCTTAAGAAGAAAAATACGTTTTTCCAGCTGTATAGAATATACAATGATATAGAATATAAGTGATAAAGAATTTTATGCACTTTTAAAATGTACATTAACATCTGAAAACATTATATGAATATGTGCAAAACTTACTTATTAATTAGGTTGCCACAAAAACTTTATTCAGGGTGAAATCTTTTACCACCAAAGTTTTTAATACTTTTCAGATTTCACAGGGATGCTGTTTTTTTATCTTAGTATTCTCCCCGAAGGTAAGCATTATACATTTCAGAATCAGGCATATTTGTGTGGAATTGGTTTAATTTCTGTTTCTTTTAATAATGTTCTATATCTTCTAATACTTGTCATGATTCATTCAGAAATTTTTTAAGTCTATTGCATGTTTTGTATTTCTTTGAAGTTTAAAACAAACAAAACTAAGTGGGAAAAAGTTTTCTGCAAATGGAAATTTAAACTCAAGGAAACCACAGGTAAGAATGAGCAGAATTTGAGAATAGACTCCCTAATATGAACAACTTTATTTTTTGGCCCATATAAATTAAATATTCCATTATATAATGCTGTGTATATCTTATAAATTAAAACTGTATTTGATGTCATCATAGGAATTCTTTCACAGCAAAGTTTTCTATGGAAATCCTGATCTCCTATACTTAAAATTTTGGATTAAGAAAACAGACCTTCATAATAAATTTCAGTGTGTAAAAGCAGGAAAATTTATATATTTTTTAAAAATGCTATTTACATTTTTCTGAGTTTCATCCTACACAGTCACCTATAAGATTCCTATCCTCTAGTTTAGAAAAACAAACATCTATATCAATAAATAACATTCTGTCTATTTCTTCTGAGAGTAGATAGCTTTATTTTCAGGATGCATATTTTAAATACTCAATAATTGAATTATAGAAGTGAGATCATGTAATACTTATGAAAAGAGAAATACTTCCTCCGCCTGGTTATTGGCCAAGCAAAACAAGTTGTCAAGCTACGAAGATTTATTTTATTTGGACTGCCATATTGTTTCTAGCTTGTCTACAGTTGCAAGGGGGGGGGGGAGAGAAGAAGAAATGAAGAAATGTGTTGGCCAGTTGAAGGTTTCTTCTCTCATAACAATTGCTGGAAGATTAATTGGACAGTGTGATTGAACTGTCAGAGAGGGAGGGAAGATTTTACTCTTTTAATTATCTGTTTCCACCATGTTGCCTGCGCTACCTTTTCTTCTATTTGCCAGTATGTTATGCCTAATTAAAGTTAACATTAAAGATTACTGTCTCCAGTATTTTACTTTGTTGGGCTTTTCAGCCAGGATTTGACACTAGCCTAATTGAAGAGCCAAGAAAAGTCAAAAATTATTTTGCACAGTGCATTTATTTGTCATATTTTAGTACTTTAAAATAGAAATGCTGATGCTCTCACGAGGATATTTTTTTTAATGATTATGATTTTTTCTCTAGGTTTAACTAATTGATCATTCCTAAAGAGGGAATATTGCTATAGATTAAAAATAAGCAGATAATCTGAAACTATCAGATGGTGGTGGGAAAAGTACTGAAGAAGAAAAGATAATTTCTTCTCCAAGTTCCTTCTGTTATTCAACATGTCACTATAGCTCACTCTATCCTCTCATGCCTAGCATCAATTGACCTATTCATGTTAATGGCTGCGATCAACTTCACAACCACTTAAATCCTCTGGCATTAAGCCATTCCTGGGTGCAATCTGATATAAAAAGGTCTAAGTTCTCTGAAGTGACTACATGTCTTAGAAACCCTGCATTACAAGACAAGATTGCCAGGCACCAACAGCTGCCAAACAGTGGTGGCTATAGGCATGGGTGTAAACATCTGCAAGATGGCAGACAGTATTCCAATCCAATTCCTGTGCTTTTCTTGTATTGATACATACAAATGGAGCGACACTTAGATTATAATGCCATGCCCAGGACCTGTACCACCATGGACATTGCTCCTCCAAAGCAACCCCCCCCCAAAAGAGAGAGGAGATGTGTCTGAGTATGTTTTGACTCCTGGTAATTGTCAGGATTAATTTTTACAGTTTTCTTGGCCACATTTTGAGAAGTGGTTTGCCCTGGCTTTCTTCCTAGGGTGGAGTGAGCAAAATTAGTCCAAGGTCACCCTGCTGGCTTTGTGTCTAAGTCCACCCTTATGGTCCTTACCATCTATTTAACATTTCAAGGCTCTTCATATTTGTCAGCAACTAGGAGTTGTTCTGAATTGAAAGGGATTTCATTTGCATTTATTTCTTTTTTTAAAAGACATTTTATTGGTTTTTTAATTCTCAAGAAAAGGTACTCAGGACACACCATGGTGTTTGGGTAATCAAACATTCAAAGGTGAAAATATATAAACAACTCAACTCAATACATTCACTGTCCCCTCTCTATTTCCCTCAAATAGCATAATACGTTTAAAATATTCCATTTCTAATTTAAATTTCTATTACTGCTAAACCTGTTTTAAAACTTTGTCAGTTTATAATTACCATAATCAAATCTAACTTTAAATCAACAAGTTATCAATTCAGGTATCCCTTCCAGATATATTCTAATTCTTAATCTCTCACATCCCTCCTTTTATCACCAATCTCATTTATTTCTTCTTCCACTACACAATTGATATTCTAATTAAAATAAAATATTAATCTACCCTATACATATATAATCCCACAATCAATCAATCTCTTTAAGATAACAAAATAATGTTAAACCTTAAGTCATTTCAATTCATTAAACAAAGTTCAAATTTCATCCAACTGATTATCATGCCTTATCACATCTATGATATCATACAGAAAGGTCATCTTACTAATTTGAAACACTCAATTACTTATTGAAACCATCCAAATCTAAAAAGTCAACATTTTTTCAATTCCAATACATAATAATTTTCATCAAAATAAATCTATTATTCCAAAAGGTACATTCTTAATCTATTTAAAATATCTATTCTAATAATCACCCATATATATATATTCATATTCTTACTTCTAACTCTAAATCTTAATCCTTAAAACAGTCCATAAATCCAACATTGCCTTTTAATCCATTACACAATTTTAAATTTCTCTTTTCAGTCTGATTCTAGCTTTTTTCTGTGCCAGGCAGGTTTCCATAACCAAGCTTCCCTTTCAGTCAGTAAATCTATTTTTGTTGCTTGCAGTGGCCTTTGAAAGGATAGGAATCCCATCCTCCGCATTAGGCATCTATTTCTCTCATCCTTAAAGCATCATTGCTTTGTAGTTTCAAATCTCAGTCTTTGCTTCTTCTGTTCCTCAAAGTTACAGATGGAAAGTTTATGAGATAGAATAAGTTCCTCTTTTATCTCTGTTGATTCATCTTCTAGTATGTTTTGATTTATAGAATAGTCAGATGTAGTATGGACATCAGTTTGAATGTTTGAAGTGAGATTTCTGGATCTTAATTAAGTAGTAAACTCATTTGTAGCACATATTTCTGCAGTAGCCTCATAAATCTTTTCCAATATAAGTTTACAGTTTAAATGTAACTGAGGTTTCTCCATTTTGATAGTAATTAAAAAGAGTCTCTTTTCTTTTTTGTGGAGGCTATATTTAATAAAAGTAAGGCAGTGTCCACCCCCGCAATTCCCACAGCTGCACAGCTTATCTTTCCTCTTCAAAAATAATTTGAAGGTCAGGTCTATTCCATCTTCAAAGAGTAACCAAAAGTTTTCGCCACTAGATGTCCTCAGTAGGTTAAAAAAAAGATCTTTTCCAGACACCATTTCCTTTTTTCTATCTTTTAAAGTATAATGTGAAAAAAGAAATAATCTTCCAGCATAAGATGATAGTACAGTTCTTAGAAAGAGAAAAAAATAATAATTTCTGTACCCCAAAAATATGGTAATAAAATATAGTCTTCAAAATTTTATTCTATTTTTAGAACAAGGCCTTTCTTCCCAAACATGTAGACGCTGCTTTTTCAAGCCAGGGAAATAATTCCAACAAGGCTCTTACAGGCACAAAAAACAAAATAGAGCAGAGAGAGTAGCAAGGAAAAATCTCACCTGGATTCACCACAGGGGTTCTTACAGCTTAGATGTTCTTTGACTTGCGGTTTGAAGCGGCAGGGTGATCGGCCATTTTACTGGCCGATCTTCTCCGTCGGCCCTCAGAGATAGCTCAGACAGCTGGAGGAACCGCGGCTCCTCTGCAGCCGAGCAAAGCCTCAAAAGAAGTCGCACCCTCGAAAACCTTTGGATTCAGCAAATACATTGATTAAGAAAGATTCTGGGCAAAGAAAAAAGATTAAGATGGAAACCAAGAAAATAGATGATGGGACATATCAGAGAGAATACTTAAAAAAGAAATGTGTTTGAATATGGTTAAAGAAATAGAAAAAATTTGAAACACACCACTCTAAGAGGGATGAAATGTTTTAAATACTTAAATGTGACTGAATTCAAGAATATATATATATATATATATATATATATATATATATATATATATATATATATATATATATATATATATATATATATTCCATTATTAGTGCTTTCTTTTATTTTAACAAATAAAACAAGAATAGTATTTATTTATACACAGTGTCATGGTTCCAATAGATGAAACCGTTTAAAAAAACTTCAAGGCAAAAATTTATTTCTTAAAGATACATTTTATTTGGAAACAAAATATCAACACGTACATAGGTGAACCCAGGACTAAAAATTCCCTCCCCCTTGGTTACAAAGTTACTATTGCAATTCCCACCCTAAATTGCTGTCATAAATCACATTCAGAAATTGTTGCAAAACGTGGGCTCTCCTCCCAGCTCTCCAGCCCGCCAAAATGTTATCAGCACTGACCTTGGTTCTCACACATAGGAATTGTTTGGGCTAACTGAGAACTACACACACACAAACCTTTTCCTTCATCTAAAACAGTGGTTCTCAACCTGTGGGTCGGGACCCCATTTGGGGTCAAACGACCATTTCACGGGGGTCGCCAAACGCAGTCCGCCATTTTTCCCCCTTTTCCTTAGCTGTGCTACTCCCTTTTATTCTATTGGCTTTTGAAAGCCAATAGAATAGACTCTCTTGAATAGAGTCTAATTCTATTGGCTTTCAAAAGCCAATAGGAATTGTCCAGGCTGTCTCTACCCTGCTGAGACCGCCAAAAGTCCCATTCTGCAAACGGTGCTGCAAGTTGTCTGCAGCGAAGGTAAGCTGTTTGGAAGCTTCCACCCCTCCCTGCTGAGCAACTAGTAAAAATATAAGTAAAAGAGGGCCAGGGGTGGGAGGTGGGAGACCGGCGGGCGCATGGAGAGTTGCTGGCATGCGTGGGGCCTGGCGGGTGCCTTATCTCCCTTGGGCTGGGCCAGTCGGTGGTCGGCCTGTGCCATCTCTGCCCCTTGCCAGCTACGCCTCGGCCGGCACGGGGTGGCACCACGCATGTGCGGCGCTCCTGGGCAGGGAAAGTCCTTGACTTACGACCGGTTGGGTAGTCCTCGACTTACGACTGGTTGGGGGTCGCGGCATTAAAAAGGTTGAGAACCACTGTTCTAAAGAAACTAATTTGATGTTGAATTTGATCACAGCAGCAAGGTTATTGGTAGGGCAATATTGGAAGAAGGATTGCTTGCCTACTATAGAAGAATGGATGCTTGAAGTGGCAAATTTAGCAGAAATGGCTAAGATTTCTGCTTATTTGAAGGATCATTCACAAGAAAGATACATTTCGGTTTGGAGAAGATGGATAGATTATATTCAGTATAAATATGGGACTAAAAAGTTCCACTTAGCTTATGAGTAAATCTTAGAATATTTTTAATAGTTTATTATAGTGGAGTATTATTATTTTAATAATTAGTTTAATAATTAGGATATTATGTTTGTTTATGATTTTATTATTATGTTTACTTTTAACTTGGTTATATTTATGTTAAAGGGGAGTTAAAGCGTATTATGGATTTGGTTATATAGTTGGTTAATGTTAGTTAGATTATGATTATTATAATTGTAACCCTGTATTCAGCTCTGGGAAGTGGGGGAGGGTGGGGGGTTTGGGTTGGATTGGTTTTGGCGTTTATATTGTAACTTTTATAAAACTTTTCAATAAAGAAAAGGTTAAATACTTGGGAATATACCTGACAGCAACATGTTTAACGATAAAAGAAGATAACTATATAAAATTACTGAATCAAATAAAACTTGACTTGGAAAAATGGAAAAACTTGTTAGGAAGAATTGCTATGGTGAAAATGAATATATAAATAATATATAAAAAA